TTCCTCAGAGCCATGGGCAGCCAAGGCAGCTGAGTAGGGAAATGGGAAGTGAGGGAGACGTGTCCCCAGGGCAGTTTGCTTCACACGCTGCTCCCCACACCCAGTGAAGTTTCCCTCTGAGGGGATCTTTGCATTTAGCACAAAAGGAAGCCCAAACACAGGAGCCACCCTTTGAGAATGGATATTCCCCCAAGAAGACCAGGTTGTGCAGTATTTGACAAGCAGGGACAGCTCTGGAAACCTAGTGTAAGGGTTTGTACAGAGATTGACTCCGCCATGGGGGAACATGCTGGGGAAGAAGGGCCTGGGCTTCTCTGAGTGTCACGAGTCCCCCAGTCTGGCCACTAAGCTGTTAGCAGTGTCTAAGCCAAGTGACCTCTGCCTACACACACCAGCCCCAACAACCACACACACACACACTCTGCCCCTGCCCTGTCTCCACCCAGCACCCAGAAGGACCGTTCCCCACAAAAGAATCTGATCCTCTCCCTCCCCCAGGTGCTCCCCATTGCCCACAAGACAAGCCCCTTCCCGAGCGGGTCTGTGATTTGAGCATACCGTAGCATGGTCTTGCATGAGGAGCTTCACTGAGCTGCTTAAACATACAACACTCCACCTCTATCTCCATGCTCCATGCCACTGTCTCTCTGCCCATGGCACTACTGCTGCCCCTCAGCTCTCTTCTAAAGCCCACATCAGAGCCTCCTCTGAGCCTCCACTCAGGCCATGTCCCCCACAGGAAGCCCTGTGTCCCCACTCACATCACTGGGCTTTCCCCTCCTGGGGCCGATTTACCATCCTTCTCCCACATGAAGAATCTGATTTCTAACACAAACGGTGATGTTGGTGGTGTTAATTTAGATGTAGCATCAAAACCCAGCTGTTGAATGGGTCAAGGGATGAAGATATGGATCCACCGTTCATCTGTTGCATGTTTCAGCGCCTCTTACAGGGCTACAGTATAAAAACAATCCTTGAAGAATATCCAGGGAGAGTACTGAGGAGAAGGCTGAGGAGGACCCAGGGACGCTTCAGAAAGAGCAGCAGAATTCCCAATGTATGCAAAGCACAGTTGGGGACATCAACCTGGCCCAGGCCCCAGTCTCAGTGGCCATCGCTGCTGGCCAACTCAGCATTGCTTCTGACCCCCTAAGCTCAGCCTGAGCCACAGACATGAGGTAAGGAGGGCCCAGAGAACTGGGCTTCTCTGGGGCTCACTCTCCCCTGGCTCACCAGGTGGCAAGAAAGATAGGAAGATGATGTGTGGATGTATGTGTGTGCACGCGTGTATGTATGAACAGGTCTGGCATAACAGCCCCAGCACAGACCCTCCGATCCGCAGAGCAGAAGAGGATAGAGGGCCTATGTTTTCCCTCTGCAGCTTCCCAGTGACCCAGCAGCTGGCCTTTAGGCAGACTGCAGGAGTTAGTCAGCTGCCTCCCTCTAGCCTGTCCCCCAAAATGGCCATGAGCCTGCTTTGGGTCCTCTCCCAGATATTCTCTAGTGGCCCTTTGCCCTGGCCTGCATATAGTCAGGAAAGCAGAGTCAAGGGCAGTGCAAGGACTCTGTGCTGAGTCCCAGCTAAGGACAGACACCAGGAAACCAGGTGTGAGACTGAGTGGGGACCATGGGCTCCCGGTTCTGTCTTCCCAGACGTGGCTGCCACGACTGCGGGTCTTCCCCAGGGGAAGTGACAGGCACCTTTCTTGCCTCACCCGTCTAGTGTAAGAGTGCTGAGAGCTTCCTAATGTCCAAGTCCCAAGGTGCCTCCTTAGAACCCTCTCTGCACCTTCACTCCCTGAGCCACCTTCCAGGGGAGCAAGGAACTTCAGCATCCATTCTTAACAGGTGCCCCCATGTGCACACTCAGGCCTCTGCACACACATGCCCATTCACACATGTGGACACACACACACGCACATTTCCGTATGCATGCATGCACATTCCTCCACACTTGCATGTGCACACGCACACACAAAAAAGGCTTAGCTTACACCCACAAAGCCCTCCACCCTTCACTTCAACCCCACATGTCAGCAAGGCCACTGGTTCTCCCCAAAAAGTTCCAGCTTTCTGCAAAAAGAACACATAGACTGGCACATGTCCACGCTTCACCTATGGAAAGGACAGAAGGAAAGAGCAGATTCAGTATTTAATATCATCTTAAAATAGATCAACAGAAAACCCCATGAGATCCTTTAACCCAAGATCTCCCAACAAGTGTTCCAGTAAGTATGATTCACTTAGAAGCTTACAAAATGTGAAATTCCATAGTCTGGGGAGTTTGGAGCAAAGCATACCTTGTGTCTTGAATCACAAACCACATTGGTGTATTAAAATCTCTGTGGATCCTGGAGAAAAGATACCTGTTACCAGATAAATGATAGATAATAGATGATAAGAAGGTTATAGATGGATGGATGGATGGATGGATGGATGGATGGATGGACACAAGTTAGATTGTGTAATTAAATTAACTCTATGGGTCACATCTCTAAGTAACACTAGACCAATCACTTTTATTTGATAAAGGAGAAACTCCCAGAGAGGGATTTGTTTGCTCAAGGTCAGACACCAGCAGCCCTGGGACTAGACTCCAGCCTCTTCCCAAAAGACCTTTCTCTCTTTTTGTTTTCATCTCTAAACCCTAGGATTTCCTTCGACCAGAGACATCTGTGCTATTTCCAAGTAAACCTCATGCTCGTGACTACTCTCAGGAACCTCATCAGCCTCTCTTCCAGGCGCACCCCAACTGAAGTGGGCGCCCTTCCCTGCACCTCGGACTGTTAGATCCACTTCAGAGGTGGCAGAGCCCAAGGCAGATGATAAGCCTGACACTGGTCTGGGGCATGGATCCATCTAAGCTGTCTGAGTTAGGGAAGAAAGCTCCTGACAGGGGTCCCAAATGCCGATGTGACCTGTCATGCCATCCGCAAGGATTAAGTTGGAAAACTGAGTGCTGAAGTCTGAGAAGTCTCAAGAGGCACTGGTCACACAGAACTTCCCTGCCCTACTCACCCCCAGGCCAGATGGTCACCCCAACTCTGCCACAGCCACCTCCTCCCCACCACACAAAACCATGCACCTGTGGCCTTCAGTGAGCACTCACTTCCTCCCGCCCCTGTTGCGTGGCCAGCTAATGTGTGGCACAGGTTCACCCTGCCTCCTCCTGCAGCTCTAAGGTTTGTGGAAGGTACAGCAGGCCCCAACCTCTGCCAGCTCCCCCATGGAGCAGAGACGGGGTATGCATGGTGCTGAATAGCAAAGCCCGGCCTCCTTGCGGAGCCTAGCACAGTGCTTGCCATGTGGCACCAGACAGAGAAAGCTGGGGAAGAGAGGGTCTGAGTGACCCTGAGATACAACACGACATGACAGCTCTTCTGGGTGTCATGTCCCTCATCAGAGCTTATGATGGCTGAGGCAACCTCTGGGCCTCAAGCTTGGATTCAATGACAGAATCCGCAGGAGGGGCAACCTCAGGCACATCTCCACCATTCTCCCTCCAGCCTTCCAGCACAGAAGCGGCTGCGCTCAGGGGCAGGGCTTGTTCCTCTACCCTAGCACTGCCTCTCTTGAACCTGTCAAGGCACACTGCGGACCTAAAGGCCACTCGGTGGCTTTCATACTCCAACCAAAGCCACAAAGGCAGGAGCTCAGCCAGAGACGGACCTCCTGGCACAGATCATGAGCACCAGGTAGTGCAGGCCCCACTTTGCTCAGATTCCCCTGGGGCCACTGCTCCTCAGTCCTGTTCTCCTCTGCTGACTGCAGCTTGGGTGCTTTAGAAAGAACAGTGACTCTAATTGTCAGTTCTGAAACTCAGCAGCATCCCTTGGCCCCAGCTCCTGCTCCCCGACTTTCTCCAGGTCCTCCTGATCTCTGACAATTCTCTACCAGGGCAGAAGGGAGAGGCCCCTTCACGGGGCACCATCATCCACACTTCCCTCTCTCCCAGGTGGTGGCCTCTGCAGGTAAGTGCAAGGCAAACACTTCCCCAGCGGACTAGGTGGAACAGAGTGTCAACACCATCTACCCCCAGGTGGGGACACACAGCCCTGGTCCTGGAGACCTGCCAGGCCACCCTGTTATCCAGCACTGTTTGCCTTTGGGGCAATGGATGCCTTGAGCATAGAGGCACCCCAGGAGGATGGCTGGCCCCAAACCACCTGTCCTTCATGTTTGCCCTCAGACCCAGCTGCTTGACAAGTGACTCTTCAGCAACTACTCATCCTACACACTGGCACACCCATCACCCAAAACTGTAGGATCCTGAGCAAGCTGGCTCCTCTCAGCCACCTCTACATCCATCAGATGTGGTGCTGGGCTCCAGCATCAAAGTGCCATGGCCACAGTGTAAGGCTCTTCTATCTGACAAGACAGCAGGGTTGACTCTGACCTTATCAAGAGGGAACAAGAAAGATGTGCGGCTTTGGTCACAGACACTCTGAGCCATCAACTGATACACAGGAGTTTGTGCCATGTTCTGGGGTATATGTCCATTACCACATGTGCAGGCATGACATGCATTCTGGAATATATCACACAATCTTGTACATACATTTGCACCTTTGGGCAGATAGCACTTTGAGGTATATGCATAGGCTGGGGCACACAGACACTCTGGGGTATCTACACAACGTGTATGTCTACACCCTTGGAATATAGCCACCACTGTGACTCCAGAGGCTCTAGGTCAAAGACCCAGACCGTGCAACAGGATAAAGCTGTGTACAATGCATTGCCACATTTTGGAAATCTCAAGCACTCTAGGAACCAGTTCTTGCACCTTGCAAATGGGCTAATATGGAAGTTACCTCCTAGGGTCTTGGAAAGATTAACAAGGCAATGCCTGTCATAGGCTCATCACCACGGCGAGCACGCCAGGAACTCTTGGTAAATAATAGCTTTGTTACTGCTCATGCATTTAAAGGTATTTTCTAACGTATGCATAATCACATGGCCACAGTATTAAAGTGTTTGAAAACTCAGATAACAGGAGAAACACTTCATTCATATTTATTTCACATTTGATCTGTAAACTTTTTATTTAAAAAAAAACCCACTGTCATTAGCAACATGTGCTGACATTAGTTTTTCTTTAGTGAAGTAAGAGCACAGGCCTTCAACTGTCTCTGAAACATGTAGAAACCAGGTTGTAAACACGAGGTCTCTGCCTCCTCCTCTGCCTTCGGCCGTTCATCAGTGACATGATCCCAGCCAGAAAAGCAGGGGGAAGGGCAATACTTTGATACATAAGAGCTCTTGGGGCAGGAGCTGCACGGTTTGGCAGGCCCATTTGTCTTTTCCAACTGGTTTACCTTGGGCAAACTGCATCAGCTTCGCTCCTTCCACATTACTTCCACACCTCTGTGTCTAAAAACAGCAGCTAAAAGATTTCCCCTCAGTCAGCGCTTTAGGGAGGGGTGGGCGCACATACATACAAGATAGAAACATACAGATTCTTCTTCAAGCAGCAGCCCCAAGGGATAGAGGGAGAGGCCACCGGAAAGTGCCAGACTTAAAGTGAGTTACTGAGGCCAACAGGGGCCTCAGAGGATAATGGCTTTATACACAGGGCTGATGCAAGGCGGAAAGGTCCATTTACTTCTGTCTTGGTCCATCACTGCAATATTTACATAAGAAAAGGCAATTACGCTGGTAGGCACAGGGGGAGAAAAAGGACAGAAATCTTTTCCCTGCCAGGAAATCCCAAAGCAGGTCCACATCCCAGGGACAGTAACCAGTTGCTGATTAAAACAAAAAAAAAAAAGACACACAGAGACATAATAACACTAGAACAGAGCTTGCATTGCAAAGGGGCTTGACCTGGATCAGATGCTGGGTCTGCCTGGAGGGCACCCCTCAGCCTGATTCCAACCCAAGGCCACAAGACACCGGGGCCCCCAGGTTTACTATCAAAAAACAGTGTGCATTGAGAGGGCGAGCAGGGGCTCCCCTGAGTGTGAATTTTAAAATTAGAGAGTTTGGGGTGGGGGAGAGCAATTAGTCAGAGCTGAGTGTCCCCTTCTGGTTTTCCCTTTGTGAGCCACCCGCTCTGGAGTCCTGCGTTTTCTCTGAAGACCTGGGAGAGCTGTGCTGGGGGAATGAATGAAAACACCTTTAGAAAACAATACTGATTAGGGGCGGCCCACCAGGAAAATCTATCCGGCTCAGGAACAGCCATAACAACAAGTAGGGGAGGGTGTGTATGTGGCCTCCTAGTCAGAACTTTCCCCGTGCGCAACAGGAGATGCCTGCAGGAGGCCGCGGAGCACCCTTCAGGCCGGGAAACACGAAGCAGGAAGGTAGGTCCTAGGCAGCCGCAGAGTTTGGGGCTGCTGGGAGACTCTGCCCTCCAAGCCCCTGGCCTGTAGTCTGCGCCAGCCTGTAAGCAGGATCCTGCGGCCCCGTCACACGATCCGCTTTCTGTCCCCGCGGCAGAGGATCTTCTTGAAGGCGCGGCGGAAGTCGTGGTTGAAGATGGTGTAGATGACCGGGTTCAGGGAGCTGTTGCAGTAGCCAAACCAGAAGAAGAACTTGAAGAGCGTGCGCGGCACCGAGCAGCCCACGGCCGTGAGCGTGTAGGTGAAGAAGAAAGGGAACCAGCACACCACGAACACCCCGATGACCACGGCCAGCACGAACGTGAAGCGCTTCTCACGGTTCTGCCGCCCGCGCCAACGCGACGCCTTAGCGCCCCCGCCACGCTCCTCCCCCGGCCCGGACCCCGAAGTCCCGGACCCCGCCGCCCCCGGCGCGCGGCGGGGCAGACTGTCGCCGGGCTTCACCTGGCTCGCGCGCGCCTTGCTCTTGGCCCGGAGGCCGCGCTCGGGTCTGCGGGCCCCCGGGGGCCGCTCTGCGTGCTCCGACGACGAGCTCTCCTCCAGGTCCAGCGCGTCTGCGTCGCGCGGCCCGGCCGGCGCGGGCTCCCCGGGCGCGCCATTGACCTGAGTGGGCAGAGGTTCGGCCTCGGCGCCCCCCGGGCCTACGCCGCGCTCCAGGCCCAGGCCATTGGGCCGGCGCTCGGCGCCCCCCGGCGGCGCGGCGGCGTGGGCGTCCGGACCTCGGCGGCTGGGTGGCACGCGGGTGCGGCGCTTGGCTATTTGGTAAATGCGCACGTACACCAGGATCATGATGAGGCAGGGCGCGAAGAAGGAGCCGATGCTGGAGGAGATGACGTACCACTTCTGGTCGTTGATCTCGCAGCGCGGCTCCGCAGGCTGCTGCCCGCCGCCGCCGGCCTTCTCAAAGGAGATGAGCGGCGGGAAGGAGATGACGGCCGAGATGACCCACACGGTGACGATGATGGCCTTGATGCGGCGCGGAGTGCGCTTCAGGTTGTACTCAATGGCCTGCGTGATGGACCAGTAGCGGTCCAGGCTGATAGCGCACAGGTGCACGATGGACGACGTGCAGAAGAGCACGTCGAGCGCCAGGTAGATCTCGCACCACGCCTTACCAAAGTACCAGTAGCCCATGACCTCGTTGGCCAAGGAGAAGGGGATGACGAGCGTGGCCACCAGAATGTCTGCCGAGGCCAGAGACACCAGGAAGAGGTTCTGGGGCGCCTTGAGCGCGCGGCTGGTGAACACCGCGATGATGACCAGTACGTTGCCGAACACGGTGAGCAGTATGAGCAGGCCGACCAGGCACACCAGCGTCACCGTCACCTGCAGGGAGTAAGGGGTGGCCCGGGTGCCGCCTCCCGGCGCCTCGGTCCCATTCCAGCTCGCGTTGCCGGAGTCTGGCTGGAGGGAGCCCATGGGCGCAAAGCTGCCCTCGGCCAGCGGCTGCTCCTGGCGGAACATGAACGCGGCGCCCGCTCACCGGGCCTGCTGCCGGCCGCCTCCCCACCCGGCGCCCGTGGGTCCTCCTCGTCCTCCGGAGCCCCGTTCACCCCGCCGCGCCTCGCATAGGGAGAGAGTCGCTGGGAGGCCGGCCCGAGCTGGGGAGGCGCTAGTGACCCATGGGCCTGGTTCCCGCGAATCGTGCTGGCCTCCCGCTGCTGCAGACGTTGGGGGTGGGGGGCGCTTCTGAGCTCCGAGCTCCTCCACACAGGCAAGTTTTGTCTCTAAGCGGCAGGAAAGAGTAGGGCAAGCTGATGGTTAGAGATTTGTGCTTCAGGAAAGGACATCAAAAATCATTGGTGGCCTGTTGATTAGTAAGGCTATCAGGAAATTACACACATACTACATTTAATACTATATATATATATATTCATAGCCTTGACTCGAGCCTAAGTTAAAGCAAGAGATCTTACCGTGCACAGGGGCCGCCCCCAATCCCGGGAGACAGCCAGGAGGTGTAGACGTGGGCTCGGGGTCTTAAGCTTGTCTTCTTATACTCCTAAAGCGGTTACGGACTCCCTCGCTTCTTCCAGAAGAGGCGGTGCGCGTTGGGCCCGCCCAGGGTCCGGGTCGCGGACTCCGCCGCCTCTGCGAGCGCCGCGGGACTTCCAAAGTTGTGCGCCCTGCTGGGGCCAGGGCGCTGCGCGTGGAGCTCGGCGGAGGCGGCGGCGGGGTGAGGAGTGTGGGGGCCGCATGAAGTCACCCCGGTCCTCAGGCGGGCCGGGCTACGGGAGCGATCGGCCCTCTCGGAGCTGCGGCCGAGGCAGTGTGTCTTCTGGGCGTCGGTTCGGTAGCAGCCGAGCGCAGCAGGGCGGACCGGGGTCGGAGGACCGAGTGAGTTGGAGCAGGAGTGGGGGAAGAAGGTGCTAGGGTGGCCGGCCGGCGGCGTGCAGATCGTTGGGCTTCTGCACCAGAGCCGGAGCCTCTGCTGCTCCGCGGCGCTACGGTGGACTCGTTTTATAGCCCTGGGATCAAGTCGGCGTTGCCGAGCAGCCGGCGTCAGCCCCCACGTGGGAAGCCGACCCTCCTCCGCAGCTCGCGCCTCCCCTCCGCGGGTCTAGCACCCGCGCCCAGTGCCGAACCCCAGGGAGTGCTGCCCCCCAGGCTGGACCGGCCTTTTGGAGAGTCGAGTACCCAGAGAAAGGGGATTAAAGAGAGATTCTGGGTGTGGGGGTGCGGCCTATGCTAGGAGTTGGCGGTGCAGCTCCTGGTCGGCGCGCCAGACAGCAGAGAGGACCAAGCGCAATGCTCCGCCAGCTGGGTCCTGGGCAGAAAGGAAAGGGGAACCCCTGGAGGGCTTCCAGAGAAGCAGCCTCCAGTTGGGGTCGCATCCGGAGCACCTCAATTTCTACCCGACCCAGTGATCCTAGCGGAGGAGGAAGGTGGGGGTTCGGGTTGAACCCCTAGGGCAGAATGTGCAGTACCATCAGAGCAGTGAGTCTGACCAGAGTTCAGACTTCTTTTGGGGAGGAATCGATCACATGTCCTCCAGGCCGTGGAGCCCTCTGCCGGATCCCAGAGGCCTGGGGTCTGGACCGAAGCCCCACCCCGCCCCTTTGTGGCTGCGGTGAGGAGGGGTCCTGGAAGCCGAAGCCCCGCGCAGCGACAGAACGAGGGCGCACTGACACCTGCTGGCCACTTGTCGTCACGGCTGGGAAGCGACCCGCTGGGGCAGGCACCTCTTCCAGTTTGAGGTCCTCTGCCTCCACTTTCCCACCTCAGGAGAAGTTTGGGTCTAAACTCAGGAAAAGAGAAGCCAGATTTTAAATTGCACTTTGTCATGTGGCAGAAATATTCCTAAACAGATACTCTCCCCTCTGGCGGAACTGGAGCTTTGATAAAATCACATCAGGAACTACGGGCTGGCAGACACCCCACACCAGGCCTGGCCTCCCACCCTGGATCCCTGTACTATTCTGCGGACCTGTTCCTGTCCAGGTGCCTGCTCTGAACTCTTGGGAACCTCTGTGTCTTTGCTGAGGCCCAAATACCCTATGAATGCCAAGTGGGGGCTCCAAGGCTCCAAACACAGAGTCGTGATAAGGAGATGGAAATATTAGCTGCCCTGACTTGATATGCACTGTATAAATGTATCGACTTATCACACTGTATCTTACAAATTTGTGCAATTAAAAAATTGTTTAACGTTAAACTCTACCTCTGCCCTATCCCTGTTCATATGTATACATCATTCTTCAGCAAGGGGAGGGTGCCCCCCAAGGAAGAGAGAATATTTTCTCTTTGATAAGAAATGGGGGTAGAGATAGCAAGCTTTTCCTTGCATGCTGGATGTCCCATGACAGTTGGCAACCATCCCTAGGGTACCAGCTTGCACTGTACATCTTTGCTTTCCAGATGAGCAACAGGTAGTTTAAGGATAAAGCCCAAGAGGTTAGGAAATGTCAACAGGAGAAACATTAGACCTAAAGAAAATTGTGTTATTTAAGGAGCCTCTAGATCTAAATACCTTAATGTAGTCATCTAAGCTGGAATTCCAAAGACTGAACAGATTGTTTCTCTGGACAGTGAGATGCATGCTGAGGCCCGCCCAGGGCCGGGGGCCACGTGAATAACCTTAGCAGCACCTTCAACTTCAGTGGATGTCTGTCATCTGGCTAGTGATTATTATCAGTGCTGCTTCTCTTGATGTAGATAGATGGTCTGGAAGTTTATGCCTTTCAAGACTTTTGACTGATACCTCGTTTGACATTAGTGTCTTTAAAACCTCTCAGCCTTTACCTCCTCCCTTCTTCACTCTGAGAAATCTTTCTAATTCCTCTTGCTAGAGATTCTCAAGAAAGCTGAAAAGGCAGAATTCCCTCCCCCTGTTGTGTCCATCATGTGTGTCTTCTCCCCAGAGAGCTGGGGAGAGACGAGCATGATGTGCATGCCTATAATCTCAGCAGTTGGGAGGCTGAAGCAGGAGGATTGTCTCAAATTCGAGGCCTGCCTAGGCTACAGGCTGAGTTCAAGACCAGTCTGAACTACATAGCAAGACCCTGTCTCAAAAACATAAAAGCCAAAACAAAACTTTTAGGCACTGCATCTTAGGAGACCATCTCTTCCCATATCCCCCTCAACTTCTAACACAACTTCCTGTTTCATTTCCAAGGCAAGGGAGAAAACCAAAACAAAGTCTGAAGTGTTCCCTTATTGAAAGTTCTGCTGCTAGTTTGTGTGTGACACTTGTCACATTTCCTAACTGCTCCCCAAGAAGCCACTTGGTTTCTTAATTCTTGGGGTTGGAATCTTTTCTTTTCAACTGGAAACACATCTCCCAAGGAGCTGGGGACCCTGAGGCCAGTGCAGTGGCAGCCAGTGTTAATGAGAACTGGGGCAGTCTGAACCCACTCTGTAGCATATCCAGGGCTCTGTAGAGTCGCTGCTTCATACACAAAACCCTTCCTCCTGGCATAGGCGCCTTATCACCGGGGACTCTGCGTCTGTAGTCAGTCACACAAAGTCCATATCTCTGCGCTTTGAAAAGCCACACAGACACTCTTAATCTGAGCCAGATTTCTTTCTGTGCTAGCTAAGAGTGAGCCAAAGCTGAGCAGAGAGATATCCGTAAGGACAATTATTCTTAACCAGGCCTGTATCCCAGCATCACCTAGGAAGATAAATACACTTACCAGTGCCCCAGCGGAGAAATCATGATTCAACTCCAGCGGGGTACAGCTCGCGTATTTTAACAGAGCCCTCCAGGAGATTCTGACATGCACTCTACTGAAGACCCCCTCCCTAAAGCAATCCGTCTCAGCGAGGGTGGGAGTGATGAGCAGGTACTCCTTCCTGCTGGGGCAGGACAGAGTGTCCAAAGTTAGCTGGGAGCCAGGTTGAGAACTGTTGCCCTGAGGCTCAGGCTTGCAGGACTACAACACCACAGACTTCTCAGGAGCTGGGGCACAGCAAACAGTGGCGAGCAACTGTGATTACAGAGGTTGGCTTTGATGACCTGAGGAGGAACCACCCCTGCACCCACAAATGGGGTCCATTATTTTTTCTATTATTAATTTTAAAATATCATTTATTAGCACTGGCCTCATGCCAGGTACAATGCTAAGCAATTTATGTTCCATTATTAAGTACTGTATGTGTTATTTATGTATATATGTTGTAGGCTATGTATCAGTGATGGCAAACCTTCCAGAGCTTTCAGTAATAACAGCCAGCTGTGGCACCTAGGTTCACCGCCACTACTATATACCGTATACTATTTAATTCTCAAAACAAACCTACACTTAGTTATCATTATCTGTCTGTATAAATGGGGGAATGAGCTCAGAGAGAGTAAGGAAGTAGCTCAGGGAAGAAGTGGCAGGATCTGCTCCAACTCTAGGTTTCCTGATTAGGAGTGAAACAAGCTTTCTGGGCCCCCTACTGCGAAGTGCTGCCCTCCATGTACTGCCACAGGGAACTGCACCCCCCCCCCCACGCATCAGAACAGACAGCGCTGATGAGTGGGTAAATCCCTGCCCTCCTGGTCCAGTCCTGGCTCCTACCACAGGAGTAGTGGGCAAAATATATCTCTCTTGTCTGAGGAGGCCCTGTGGGTAGGGACAGCCACACACAACCTGAGACTGTGAGTTCCCCAAGGACACCAACAACTTAGGGAACACCTGAACTGCACCACCCACTCTCGCTGTCCTGGGCAACTGCACACCCTTACTGCAGCTTAAATGTGCTCTGTTTGTTGAGCTTACCTACTCATCTGTAGGCCAGGCTAGCAAGGTAAGGGACTATCCTGTATATTTCTGCAATCTAGAACACATCAGAAACAAGCTGCTCAGAAATCATACTTCCAAGGAGGGTGTAGGAGCACACCTAATAATTCCAGAACTCTGGGAAGCTGAGGCAGAAGATCACAGATTCAGACCCAGTCTGGGCAATTGAGCAAGTTAGTGAAACCTTGTCTCAAAAAAATGTCAAAAACGCTGGGGATATAGCTCAACGCAAAGACCGCCTACCACAAGACACCATAGCACTGCAAGAGTGCTTATGTAATGAATGAGTGAGTGGAGGGAGGGAAGGAGGGATGGATGGATGGATGGATGGATGGATTTTACTTAGAATCAAAGCAGCATAGAAGTAACAGGCCCAGAAATAGGGGCCAAAGTGGCTAGCACCTTGTTCCCAAATAAAGATTTAGTTATGTGTCTGAACTAATTCAGGAATGTAGCTATAAGATCTTTTCAGTCTATTTTTTTCCTAAAAGGAACATGTAAGTAGAAGGAGATGTTCTAATTATAACTATGGCTATGCAGTTTACCAATAAATGAAAGCTCCTTAAGCAAAATAATTTGTCTTGGAGGCACATCTGAAAGCAAAGTGTCCGGCAATGCCAAGCATGTCTTGAAGTCTCTGTCTTACTTTAATGGTGACTTTGTCTAACAAGAACAGGGGAGCTGGGTGGGTGGGCATGTTGTTTACTTTCTGGGGAGGGAGTGTTGGTTGTCTAAGAAAAATAAAAAACACATTAGCCTGGAGACCGAGGCTGTGTCAAACCTCACAGACAGAAAATTCACTACACGTGTACCCGGCCACAAGCCACACACTCAGAGGCTGTGCTGAAACACACTCACCCCTCCGAACATGCTGAGCAGATGTGGGGCACAGTGTTCTCACTGCTGCCGGCCACGTGCACAGCTGGAGCCCAGCGGGGCTGCCACAAACCACAAACTTCTGCCCACGCAATGCCGTCCTGACAGTGAGGGCAGAGGGGAGTCACTGGGGAAACCTCTGATGCTTTCTCTGAGCTATTTCATTCCTCATCTCCTGGTCCCTGTGCTGGAGCCCTTGCTGGCACAGTGTCTCAAAGCTGAATGAAGCCAGAAGGAGATGCCCACTGCAAGAACCACACCAAGAACTGCCTCATCCCCCCTCTAGCCCTGCAACCACTGCTCTGCTCACCAAGGCAAGTGTGAAGTCCTGCCTCTGCCTTTGTTCCCTTCTAAAGAGCCAGCTGTCCTGCCCTGGCCTGGGAAATTAAACCAGGCCCTTTCTGTCTCTGCAGAGGTCCATGGCCAAGAACATAAGGAAAGCAGTTGTTGCCCGGATCTACTCTGCCTTGAAGATGTCAGGAGAGGAGATTCCCAGCTGGCTCTTTGCTGCAGCCTCAGTGTACCCAGCCTGCTTTTGTTTCCACTACAGCATGGGTGTGGCTCAGGGACTGTGGTATACTCTGTGATCCCTGTTACTCAGGAGGCTGAGGCAGGAGGATTGAAGTTTGAGGCCAGCCTGGACAGCATAGTAGAGGCCTGAGTCAAAATGAATGAAGAGCTGGGGAGCAGTCATAGAGCACGAGGCCCAGAGTTCAGTCCCATGGGGAGGAAAGAAAGCTGCAAGGGAGAAGTTGAAAGGGGGAAGGATGAAGGGAAAGAGTGGGGGGAAGGGGAAAGATGGAAGGGAGTGGGCAGGAGGAAGCATGGGAGGAGAGAGAAGAGGAGGAAGGAGGGGACTAAAGTTGGCAGGGAGGAAAGGGCGAAGGTTGGATGGGAGGGGAGGATAGGGGAAGGTGCAGGACAGAAAGGGAGGGGAAGGGAGAAGCATGGGAGGGAGGGAGGGAGGGAGGGGGGAGGATGGAAGCTAGGGAAGGAGGGAGGGAGGGAGGGAGCAGGCAAGCTGTCAGGCAGGCGTGCCATCCCCAGCTTTCATCTGCTACGTATTTTAGCTGTCATTCATTATGAGGCCTTGGGTTCAATTTTAGCAATCATAGAATATGAGGCTCCCAGACTGCTGCTGTCCAGACAAGTAAGAATGCTGGACCCTCCTTCCTTTCTTCCATTCTTCTTTCCTTCTTCCCTTCCCTTCCTCCTTCCCTAGGAATTGAACCCAGGGCTTCAAGCTCTAATAACTTTCTCACTTAGGACTTAAGAGAGAAAGTCTCCCAATAATGTCAATAAGTGCTGAAATTTTAACAGATGAACACTGGAGGCAGCTGAAAAGCAGGCTTCATATCTGTTTGTTGACTCTGAATCAGACGCAGACTACATTGCACACTTAGGTGCTAGAGAAAGAGGAGAGTCCACATGCAAAGCTGATGGAGCCTAACATTAAGTTA